AAAATCGAAACCAGACACTCAAGAAACCTTTAGCGGTTGTCTCTCGTCTGAACTCTGAAGCAACTAAAATCGAAACCAGACACTCAAGAAACCTTCGGCGGTCGTCTCTCGTCTGAACTCTGAAGCAACAAAAATCGAAACCAGACACTGAGACAAGAAACCTTCGGCGGTCGTCTGAACTCTGCAGCAACTCTTCTCCGGCGTTCTGAAAAACTTGTTCGAACGTCCGAAGAAACTCTGTGGTTCTTCTCTCTGTGGAAAGCATTCTCTCCGGCGGCTCTTCTCTTCGGCAGTTCGAAGAAACTCTGGAAATCAGGATTTTCTCGTCTTCTCTCTCAGGTGGAAATAGGTAATAGTTTGATTTTCCTTCAAAAAAATGAAATCCTCAATTTTTTGTGTTTGTTACTATTGCCGTTTGTGTTTGTTACTATATATGCATGCCGTTCAGCTTCTCTTATTATGTCCTTATTGAAGACCTACTATAAGTGCTTGCCGTTCAGCTTCTCTTATCATGGTAACTTTTAGCAGCTCTTTGAAAATTCAGCATATATGAACCATCCAGTCATCCGCATACAAACATGTTGATAAAGTACAGTCAGGAGTTGATGATTTGTTAATCCTTTGCTTTTCAAATTGATATCTTTCATCATGAAGTAGTTTGTTATTGCTTGTCCAACACTAGAGGATTTGGGTTTATATTCTTATGGAGTTTCTTACTTTGTGCTTCCCATATCAATTTGATGGCGATGGCAGTGGCAGCCTTAGCCATCAATTCCTACTGATGAGACATTGCAGTTGATGAAAGTGTATGTTGTTGCCATATCTCCATTAACTAGTGAATCATTGTATCCTTCTCCCATGTTGTGGCTATTCATAGTTGCAGCTCCAACTATAAGGGCATGTGAAGAACAAATGATTTACACTTTCAGTCACTGAATTGCATAGATTACACATTTTGTTTTCATCAAACAAAAAATAGAGCCTATCTTTTGTTAATAAACCACCCCAGTATACTTTCCATAAGAAAAGTTTGATGTTGATATGGAATTTCAAAATCTGCTCCTCTTCTAGAAGACAGATGGTAACAGGTAATAGTGGAATGGTCACCCCCACTTATTGGCTGGATGAAGATGGACTTTGATGGGAGTTGTGTGGGAAATCCTGGCCCATCTAGAATTTGAGGGTTAATCAGGGATGAGGAAAGAAACATACGTCCCTTTTTCTCAGGTCCAAATGAGCAAGGTGATGTTGCCATAGCGGAATTCTTGGCAGCAGTTTTTGGAGTTACGAAAGCCAAAGAATTGGGTTTCAAAAGGTTAATTATTGGACTGTTCAATTGGATTTCTAAGGACATGTCCATTCAAGTTAATTGGGTAAGAAGGTCTGCTAAAGCTTGGCAGATGGTCTAGCTTAGCAAGGGGTTCACAGACAGTCTATGTTTTGGGCTCAATTGTAATTCTGTGGGGGATTTTGACTCTGTCAAGTTTATTTGTTTATTCCACAACTTCTTGTTCTGTTTTCTCATAATTTTAATAAATTTCTTTGAGTACTGATAAAAAAAACATTTCAAGAGGGGAAGTTCCATTGGTACATTTACATGAAGTGCAGATCCTTGACCCAAAGGGTGGACACCTTGTTCAGGTGGGTCTGATGATCTATAAATGATTTGGCAATATTCTCTGCTTATAGGTGAAATGGATGAACATTTGAGACAGACATCAGATCGGGGAAGCATGGCACTTGTCATTTGATTTGGGTACAGAATTTCAATGGATACCCAGATCTGCTAAGTGCTAGTTCACTTGCTGATTCCCTAAGCTGCAAAGGAGTTAGCAGACATGCCTTGATGTGGGGTAATCATCCTTTGAATACTTGGCCATTGTAAGATTGGGGATCTGAAAGGACCAGGGGGGAGCAGTGCAATACTGGTTCCGTGACACTGCCTATACATCATCAGAAGTGCATACACTTTGTATGTACATAATGTACATTTTCTGATAACATTAATAAAGCATCATCAGTTATTGGTTAAGAAAACCTCCAAATTATTCAACAGATTAACCAGCAAGGGAAGGGGCAAGATGTAGTTGGTGCAAATTTTACACTGCAAAATTTGCATGCTGATGAATGCAAATGAGATTTACACTGCATATCATAGTTACTAAGCAAAAGGATGCAAATTTACATCTGGTTCAGATTTGCACTACAAACAAATACATTATGGAACAAGGTAGCCGCCAACTGGATGGTATTGTGTAATTGTTTCACTAGAGGCAGTGTGGTCCTCCATCTATATCTGTATGCACATAATAACAAAATTGGTTTGTTCCTGTAAATGTTATTAGGTTTGGTTAATTCTTATTGGGAGGAGCATAGGATTAGGAAGAGGAGGAGGGTGGTCTCTCATCTGAATAAACGGAGTGGGAGCTGGGAGAGGGAGAGGGAGAGGTCCCCCATCAGTTGATATATAGTCATAGATAGCCTTTATCTTTAATGGACTTGATGTGTAAACCTGTGATATTTGTTAGAATGTTAGAGTGATGTTCGGCTGATAAGAGTTCTTATTAGCCCAGTCTTATGTYTAACTTATCTTGTAACTRGGCCTGTGTTAATGGGCCTAATCCTGTTTAATGATTTAAGTCATCTGGGTGTCCCATCACTAATCAGGGGYATCCCARTAATTTCTTGTACYTTGTACTACATCCATCTATAAATAAAAGACTGGTCGACTGGCTAGTACTGTTCGACATTCTCTTCAGTTCTGTGGTTCTCTTCTCTTCTTTGCTACTTTGAGTATAGCTCTTCAGATTACAATATTTTTGTTTATCTCGAGATTCGTTCATCTTCTTCTTTGGATGTCTGTTTCATGTTTACAGATATACTGTGACCGTAGAGCAGAATATTGATTAGGTCAAGCAGGGATAGCTAGCCAGAGGTGGGGAACTGGCCGGGGATGCCATGATCATCGTCATGGATTTGGGGGCATTTTGATTGAGAGAGGTTAATTAGGAAGGGGAATCAGTTCAGGTAAAACAGAGGTGTTTGAATGGATTGAATTGTTTTGGGTATAGGTAAGATCCAAATTTGGTTCAATTATATCTGGAATGCAATAATTGAATAACATAAACAAAACTATAACTGAAATGATCAAAATATTATATACCAATAACACACTGAATTAAAAATGATTTTGATATTGTACACCATGAACAAAATGAAATGAAAATAACTTGTGTGAAACTTTAACTTAAAGAGTTTTTAATAAAACTACAATTTTCAAACCAAATTTACTATAAAACCGAAAAGGGTGGGATTCCTATTTCACCCAATTATAAATGAATTTAATTAATTCAGATTATATTTAACTTGATGAAATTTGAATTCAGACAATCAGATATGATTTGAAGCCCTAGTAGCTAGTTTGGTCATTCAAAATAGGTGGTGAAGGAATTTTAGTAATTGAAGAACTCCATTTAGTTAGTTTGAATCCTCTGAAGTCTGAACTATATATATATATAACATTGTTATGACCCCAAAACATGCTAGGTAAGAGCAGTGTTGTAATTGTAATTTGTTCATGGTAAGAGAAACTAGCTTGGTTCCCACCTAACTTGACAGTTCAGGTCTCCTATTCATAAGACCTCTACCCATGCTTCACTTCAGTTGTACATTGAAAACATTTCCGGTATTTGTATGTTACCATTTATGAAGAGATGTTGCCAATGAACAACTATAGTGTCATGTGGGTAGAATTCTTGAATTCATGTGGACACGAGATCTGAATTGCTAACTTGGTGTTCCAAAAATTAATGTGAGAAAATGTATTAAGTGCATTAAAATTACCATTTGATGATGTGCTTGCTGTTGATGGTTGGAAATGACAGGTGCTGGAATGTGGACCAGGATCTAGAGCTTGGGGTGCATAACCATCAGAACATGCCGTTAGTATTCCTTTATATGGAAAATACTACATCAACTTCTTTTGGGTGGTTTGGAGAACGGTTTATGTGGTTTCAGAATTTTTATTCTCTGGTTGCAGTTGTTCATCCATCCTCTTGATGGTACTTGATCAAATGGCTAAGCTGGTGAAGTCCACCAAGTGTTTCACTAGGAATGCGGTCCTCTTAATATGAACAATTTCTTTAGGAAATGATTTTTTTTTGGTGTTTGATTGCAGATGGAGATGGAAACCATTTTGTTTATTTTCTGAGGAATTAGGGAAATAATTAATTCCTTATTGAGTATGATTTCTGAGGAAAATAATGATAGGGAATGTTGATCAAAAGAGGAGTGAGGAACATGGTCTTGTTGATCAGATACAGTAATTTCTTTGAAAGGAATGTTGATTAGATACAGTAATTTCTACCTGGAATATATGGTTGATACAGTAATTTTTTGTTTTTTATATTTTTGTGACAAAATTTAATATATTTCTGTAACTTTTTCACATTTTCTGGGTTTTCAAGTATTTTTTGAATTTTCATTTAGTTTGGATTGGGTTGGACCCAATCCAATCCATTTGCATGTCAAATGGACTGGATCCAATCCAGTTTGTATAGATTTGGATTGGATTTGGTCCAGTCCATTTGTAAATGGACCAACGTTGGATCAGATTGGACTGGACCAAATCCAATCTGATTGACACCCCTAGATGTCGGGTACCCGAATACAAGTCGGGCCCATTTAAATGTTGACAAATGCTTTACTCGAGTCTGCCCAATTGTCGTCCTAAAGTTATGCATAGGGGTGGATTCGACCCGAGCCGAGCCGAATAGTATGACGTTTGAGCTCGACTCACCAAGGTTGTATAAGGCTCGAGCTAGAACAGTGAGCTCGAGCTCAGTTCGAGTCAAAATCTCATAAGCTTGAGCTTGATTTGAGGAAAAATATTTTATAAAAATAAAAAATTTATATAAAAAATATTATTTATTTGATGTTTAAAAAAATTAAGAATTATAATATTTTTATTATATATATTATTTTCTATAAATTTATTATATATATATATATATATATATATATATATATATATATATAACTGAGCCGAGCCGAGCTTTTCACGAGCCAAGCTCAAGGTTCAAAATATCGATACGCCTGATACGCTGCTAGGGGTGTATCGGGCGTTTCGATACTCGTTTTTTTACCTTTTTTAATTTTTTTTTTCAAAACTGGTTTAGGGGAGCTGGTCTAGGACCTCTCCATCCCCTGAACCGGTCAGACCCCCGATACACCCACTGTAGGGGCGTACCAGGCCTGGCCGAGTTTTGGGCATAAGTCACTAATTGAATTTTATAACATATAATATAACTTTTTATATTATTTGACACTAATAATATAATGAGTTCAGTTATGATACTAGAAAAATTTAGAACCAATCAACTGGTATAATCGGGTGGTATTCATGACAATTTACGGGGATGCTTTCATTGGTCAAAATTCTTCCAGTATTATGTCTTTCCAATATTATAGATATATGTTGTGAGCGGGGCGAAGGTTTTAGGTTGGGTTAAGAATGATCACAACTAATGCATAGGCTGATAGGCATCAAGTGGGTTCCTAAAGACTTGCGTGGTATGATGATAAATAAGAGATAAATACAAAGTATAGATGGCAACTTCTTTAACAACTTCTCTCAACCTTTTTGTTTCTTTATTATCTTATATCAAAACAAACAAAACATAGTCTAGTAGAAATGCACCTTCATTCGTGTAAATACAAATATACATGTTTTTTTTTTTGAAAGAAAGAAGAAAAGGTCATTGATTCAAAAGATGAGAACAAAGATCACTATCCCTTCTAGTCTATAAGAATTCTCTCAACTAGTTAGGTGGTGTGATAATTTAAGCACATTCATACCCTTAGCTTAATGGTAAGTTACTTTGGCTATTTTATGAGCCGTTACAATAGCTATTCTATTTATACAGAAGACCTTAGGCTGTGTTTGGAAACAATGCAAGTAAGTGCGAATGCAAATATGTAGAGTATAAAACGGTTCATATAAATTGTAAAATTGGGTTAGTATTGCATTTACAAATTTATTTCTTATCAAACAGACTTTTAATGGTAATAGATGCAAACATGAATTCCAATAAAGCATATGCTTTTTTTTTTTTTATCCAAAGCCCACTTGAATGCAAATTTACTTCTTTTTTATTGATGTACTTTTACATCTTATTATCAATGTAAAAATACATTGGTCTGTCATTTGTCAATACATAAATCTAATGTTGCTAAACACAGGCAAAAGTGAACCAGAGTGCAAATTTACCTTGAACCGAAATTTACACTCCATGTTCATTGTTTCCAAACGCAGCCTAACATGTAGCAAGTCTACTTATTTTATCATCTATTTCCTCCTTGATAGACCATTCAGCCCAACCCACAATCTGTATATGTTTGGTAAGCTTGTTCATTACCGTTATAGATGTTTTGGGAAATGATTTGTGTCTATCGTTTGGAAAAGAAGCCACCAATTAATGAGCATGTTCAGTATTGACGGCACAGGTTAACCTCCCCACTGCTGTCAAAAACACAATTGACGTAAAGAGAATAGCACATCCTATAATAGTGTTTGTATTAGAGGAAGCATCAACAAAATTAAACATGATAATATAATTGTTGTATTTGTTGTTTTCTACCACCTTCTCTACTCCCTTTCGGAACATTGCCTATAATATAATTGTCAGAACCCATGGGTCTTCAAAAACATACACCTCTTTACCTATTGCTACTTGCCAACACAAATCTTGCCTTATTATCTGTCTAATGTTCACTGCATTTCTCTGCCATTCAAATGCACCATTGCTTACCTAAGCACCAATGAGACTTTGATCAGAAAAATTACAAGCCTTGATAACCAAAGCCCATAATGCCTCTCTCTCCTTTAATAATCTCCAATTTTGTTTAGTAAATAAAGCTTTCTTTATATCCTTTAATCTCCTAATATGAGGCCACCCTCATCCTTAGACCTTGAAATTTTGTCTCATGCAATGAGATAACACAGTTCCTTCTCTGCTCCCTCCCGCACCAAAACTTTCTTAGCCATTAAACCACATCGGCTATCACTTTATAAACCACATTGCACAAACTAATAGGGCAAAAGTGACTACCTATTTTTGGACATGAGATTTTAAGGAAAAAAAACATGATTTGTACAATTTATCTTATCCAAGTGTAAATTCTCATGAAAAATTCCTAACTAATTGGCATGCTAATACCTTTGGAAGAAAAAGACAAGAAGAACCATGAAAACATGGCGCCTTATATGGGTCCATTGGGAAAATTGCCCATTTATTTCATCTTTTGAGGGCAAGATCAGTAACTCTACAGCTTCATCCTCATCAATTAAAGGCAAGTACAAATCCTCTAAATTTCTAACAATGTCCAAGTCCTCTCACCATTAGCATTGAGTACTTGTTCAAATTCTTTTGCAATGTCTTCTTTGATCGTGAGATTGTCACTTCAATTTGACTTTTAGCTAGTTTAATAGTGCTTCTTTACCTTTTGGTGAAAAAATTTAATGTTTTTATCACCAAGTTTGAGCCATAATTCTCTCGATTTTAACCACCATAATACTTCCTCTTGTGGTAGCTACATCTCATATTCTTCCTTTAGAGCTTCCTTTTCTTTTTTCGTTTTTTTTTTTCAATAAAAGAACGGAACCACTAAAAAACAACATGTGTACATTTTAATCCCCCTTTTACAACTACCCAAAAAACATGCTTGTAAATACATAGGGGGTGGACCTGTTAACAAAAGTATTTTTAAACCTAGCCTGTTTAACTGGGTTAACCAACTGCCTATTTACATATGATAACTTTACATTAGCAAAAAGTGATAACAAATCAAATATATGGTCATGTAGCGCCTGAAGTTCCCAAGTGATGTTTTTATTAGTTCCTTTTAACTTCAAAAGTACTTCCTTGGCATTCAATAGCAAAAAAATGTTCTTTGTATCCCATACAAAAAAGCTTATGCAAACCTCTTATTATTGCCCAGAGCTCAGCTTCTAATGATGATCTTGTCATGCACGATTGTCCTTCTGCAATGAGAAGAGGAGATCCATGTGAAAACATTAAGAGCCCAGAAGATGCATTGTGTGTGGTAGTGTTCCATGATCCATCCACTTAGATGATCGGGAGTGCTGTGTGCAGAACCTTTTGTAGATCCCATTCTGTATTCAGTAGAGAAAAGGATGAGTTTTGTGACTCAGTGGTTTTAGTAAGTCAATAATTACTAGCTTTTCACAGGATCATTAGTGGTTTTGGGGTCCCATTATTAAAAATATGATCATTTCTTGCGTCCCATATGCTTCTGAAAATTGCAAAGATTTTTGCAAGGTAAGTGTACTTTAGGGCTTTGTCCTTGATATGACTATTGTACTGCCACCACCATTCCAACAAGTCTTCTTGGCCTGAGTTTAGAAAAGCCTCTGGCATGAACCCAACTTGGGCTTGCATCCAGACAACCCTGGCTAGAGGGTATTCTGGGAAAAGATGGTTTTGGGTTTTTGGGTACGACTTGCAAAAAGTGCACAAAGTATCTTCTTTCCTTCTGCAAACCCAAATAGTTGTCTTTGTTCGAATTACCTTATGTAGGAATTTCCACATAAAGATTTAACACCTATATGAGCATGGAATAGCCCAAACTCTGAACCATCTTGCTATATTTGTTTGAGTCGGAGCTGTAGTTGTTATGAGAGAGTGATAAGATGAATTTACTGAGAATTCACCATTCTTGGAGTTTTTCCAAAGAAGACTATCAGATTGTTGTGAAGACCTTAGAGGGATATTGAGAATAGCTTCCACACTTCTGTCATCAAACAACTGGTAGAGGTAATCTGTATCCTAGGTAAGGTTTTCGGTGATTAAGTTACAGACCTTCAGTTGAGTTGGTTCTATGCTTCCGACTCTTCCTTTTGGGGTAATATTTTCTAATTGGGGAACCCAAGGGTCTAGAAAAGCTGAGATTGATTTCCCATCACCAAGTTTCTAGAAGAAGTGAGATTTCAGCTCATTCTTTAATTTGATAATGTTTTTCCACCACCTTGAATCTGAGGCTTTAGCTTTCAGGTCCAAAAAACATTTGCCTTTTACATACTTTGCTTCTAGTTGCTGAGTCCAAAGGCTGTCCCTGTGATTTAGAAGTCTCCAGACTGACTTCAGAAGAAGAGCTTTGTTCATAAAGGAGAATTTCCTTATCCCTAGTCCTCCAAGGACTTTGGGTGAACAAATAGTGCTCCATTTTAAATTGCAGTTTATAGCATGTTTGATCTGCCAGACCACCAGAAGTTCTTTTGTAGTCTATCCATCTTCTTGCATAGACCAACAGGGAGATAGCATATCTGCATGGTGTATAGGGGGATGCTTTGGGTGACTGCTTTGATGAGGGT